CGGGATATACCCTTCGGGATCCCCCTAAAGCCACCCCTGGATCCCTCTGGAATTTCCATGAACCATCCCCGGGAGCAGTCAGGACCCTCCTGGATCCTTCTGGGATACCCCCGAGCCACCCCCAGCAGCAGCCAGGACCCCCCTGGATCCCTCTGGAATCTCCCTGAGCCACCCCTGGGTACAGCTGGCATCCCTGGCACCCCTTGGGATCCCCCTGGAGCCACCCCCGGGACCCTCCTGGATCCCTCTGGAATCTCCCTGAGCCACCCCTGGGTACAGCTGGCATCCCTGGCACCCCTTGGGAGCCCCCTGGAGCCACCCCCGGGACCCTCCTGGATCCCTCTGGAATCTCCCTGAGCCAGCCCCGGGAACAGCTGGGATCCCTCTGGGACCCCTTGGGATCCCCCTGGAGCCACCACAGGGAGCAGCCAGGACCCCCCTGGATCCCTCTGGAATCTCCCTGAGCCACCCCTGGGAGCATCCAGGACCCTCCTGGATCCCTCTGGAATCTCCCTGAGCCACCACCTGGAGCATCCAGGATTCCCTGGAATCCCCCTGGGATGCTCCTGGTGGGAGCAGCCACCTGGAATAGCCAGGACTCCCTGGAATCCCCCCTAGGGATCCCCACCAGGAGCATCCAGGACCCCCTGGAGTCCCTCCTGGGATCCCCCCGGAGCCACCACCAGGAGCATCCAGGACCTCCTGGAATTCCCCCCTGGATCCACCACTGGGAGCAGCTGTTTCCCTCTTGGGATCCCCCTGGAATCCCCTCTGGACCCCCTGGATCTCCCCCTGAGCCACCTCCAGTGGGATGAGTATAGTTAAACCTCCCTAAATCCTGGATCTGGGAATTCCGAGGGGCTTCAGCCTCTCTTCCCAACATCTCCCACCACTCCTGGCTGGTGTATCCCAAATCCCAGGGGAAAACCACCCCCACGGAGAGATCCGAGGGGTGGGTTTGGATCCCTGGCACCTCCCTGATCCAGGAAGGGAGATGATTCCCATCTGTTTGGGATTTTCCCACTCCCCCTTTTCCGCCCTCTCTCTGCTTCCTGTTCCCTTAAGCCACTGCTTAATTTTAGCTCCCAGCTCGGAAGCTTCCGACTGCTCCGGGATTAAATTAGCCGAAGGATCCCCGGAATAGCTGCTGTTCCGGCAGCGTCCGAGGCCACAGCCAACCCCAGCACGTTCCCATGCCTAGTTTTTTAGTGGAAATGGGAGAATCCCTTGGATTTTCCAGCACTGTTCCATGGAGTTGTGGACTCTGGAGTGAACTCCGACCCCAGTCCTGACCTGTGCCCGGGATCCAAGGAATTCCCGGCGCTCCCAGGCTCGGGTGGGGCCGGGCCAGGAGGAGACGCCTCCAAGGAGTTGTTTTTCCAGGGATTCAGGCTGTTTTTTGGGATGGTTTTCCCCCTCTCAGCAGCTGAGCCTGAGGTACAGGAGGAGTTTGGTTGTTTTCCTACTGTTCCTTGTTCCCAAATTTCCCTCCTGGATTGAACTGATGGCTGAAAATCTCTCCCTGCTCTCAGGGTTTTCCTGGCTCTGGAAAACTTCCCTGGCTGTGTTTGATTCCAAAGGGATGATCCTTGTTTTGGTGTTTCTCAGCATGGAGATGTTGCTGATTCTTGTCCCCATCCTTGTCTCTAGTCCTGATTCTTGTCCCGATCCTTGTCCCAATCCTTGTCCCTAGTCCCAATTCTTGTCCCAATCCTTGTCCCTAGTCCCAATTCTTGTCCCTATCCTTGTCCTCAGTGCCATCCCTCGGGATGTCCCCTCAATGTCATCCCTTGGGATGTTCCCCCTGGGTCATCCCTTGGGATATTCCCCTATCCCCATTCCCCCAGTGCCATCCCTTGGGATATTCCCCCTGGGTCATCCCTTGGGATATTCCCCCATCCCCATTCGCCCAGTGCCATCCCTTGGGATATTCCCCCTGGGTCATCCCTTGGGATATTCCCCCATCCCCATTCGCCCAGTGCCATCCCTTGGGATATTCCCCCTGGGTCATCCCTTGGGATATTCCCCCATCCCCATTCGCCCAGTGCCATCCCTTGGGATATTCCCCCTGGGTCATCCCTTGGGATATTCCCCCATCCCCATTCGCCCAGTGCCATCCCTTGGGATATTCCCCCTGGGTCATCCCTTGGGATATTCCCCCATCCCCATTCGCCCAGTGCCATCCCTTGGGATATTCCCCCTGGGTCATCCCTTGGGATATTCCCCCATCCCCATTCGCCCAGTGCCATCCCTTGGGATATTCCCCCTGGGTCATCCCTTGGGATATTCCCCCATCCCCATTCGCCCAGTGCCATCCCTTGGGATATTCCCCCTGGGTCATCCCTTGGGATATTCCCCCATCCCCATTCGCCCAGTGCCATCCCTTGGGATATTCCCCCTGGGTCATCCCTTGGGATATTCCCCCATCCCCATTCGCCCAGTGCCATCCCTTGGGATATTCCCCCTGGGTCATCCCTTGGGATATTCCCCCATCCCCATTCGCCCAGTGTCCCCCATCCCCATTCCCCCAGTGCCATCCCTTGGGATATTCCCCCGGTGTCATCCCTTGGGATGCTCCCCTGGCTCCATCCCCCAGTGCCATCCCTTAGGATATTCCCTCAGTATCATCCCTTGGGATGTTCCCCAGTGCCATCCCTTGGAATGTTCCCCCAGTGCCATCTCCTGGGATATTCTCCCAGTGCCATCCCTTGGGATATTCCCCCTGGGTCATCCCTTGGGATATTCCCCCATCCCCATTCGCCCAGTGCCATCCCTTGGGATATTCCCCCGGTGTCATCCCTTGGGATGCTCCCCTGGCTTCATCCCCCAGTGCCATCCCTTAGGATATTCCCTCAGTATCATCCCTTAGGATGTTCTCCCAACTCCTCTCCCTGTGGCTCATCCCCATCCCACTTTTATCCACTCTTTACCACCTGCTGAGGCAAATTCCAGCTGGGAAACGCCCAACGCGGCGCAATTCCCTGAGGGAACGACTCTCCCGACTCGGCTTGGCGTTGTCCATCTGGGATGGGACCCACCCAATCCCAGGGATCCGGCGTGGCCTCCGGATGGCTCCAGGCTGGATTGGGGCATCCGACTCGGCTCCACCATGGGATGTGGTTCTTTGGGAATGGCTGTGCCGCAGGTGTGGCACCCGGAGCGCCACGGGTCGTCGTTCCGGCGGCGTCAGGGCGGAGTTTTCCGGAGAAACCTGTCCCTAATCATCCCTAAGACTCTTTGGGAGTCGTTGCCGACGGCAGAGCAGATCCAATTGGATGGATGGAATTGTTTCCCAGGAAAAACAAGCAAAGGGAAAGGTTTAAACTTTCACAACTTGCCAAGATTCCAGGAGGAATCTTCAGGTGGCCTAAACCTCTTCCAGCTGTTTTTTCTGTCCTTGGATACAGTTGGACTCGATGATCCTCATGGATCTCTTCAAACTCTTCTATATCCTAAGATTATTAGCACCAAAACTCCCAAATTTTGCCTTGGTTTTTCCCACTGCTCCGAAATCCTTCCAAGATTGGACTCAAGGGTTGACTAACCAGGACTCAAACAGGAGAATCCCAACTTTCTCCTCCTGGGGTGAATTCCTTCCCTGTTTTCCTAGGGATAACGTGGCCAGGGAGGGTTGGATCAGGCCCCAAGGAATGGCTGGAATTGGTTTCCTGGGATGTGTTGACCTTGAGGATCTTGATCCAACGGAGCAAACTTGGATTTCAGCCTTTCCCACCTGTTGTTATTGTTTGGGAATGACCTCATGGATCTCTCCCGACTCCCTGAAAATGTTGGGGAGAGGTGTGGGATGGTCCACGGAGCAGGGAGAGGAGGAGAGGGAATGGACTTGAGCGGAGACAGGAAAAATAGTTTTCCTGTCAGGGTGTTCAGGCACTGGAATGTTGGCCAAGGAGGTGGTGGAGATGGTTCTCCATCCCTTCTCCCAACCAGGTGGTGGAGATGGTTCTCCATCCCTTCTCAGGATCAGCCAGGGAAGTGGAGATGGTTCTCCATCCTTTTCCAGGCTCAGGGGGTGGAGATGGTTCTCCATCCCTTCTCCCAACCAGATGGTGGAGATAGTTCTCCATCCTTTTCCAGGACCAGGTGGTGGAGATAGTTCTCCATCCTTTCCCAGGACCAGGGGGTGGAGATGGTTCTCCATCCTTTTCCAGGCTCAGGGGGTGGAGATGGTTCTCCATCCTTTTCCAGGCTCAGGGGGTGGAGATGGTTCTCCATCCTTTTCCAGGCTCAGGGGGTGGAGATGGTTCTCCATCCTTTTCCAGGCTCAGGGGGTGGAGATGGTTCTCCATCCTTTTCCAGGCTCAGGGGGTGGAGATGGTTCTCCATCCTTTTCCAGGACCAGGTGGTGGAGATAGTTCTCCATCCTTTCCCAGGACCAGGGGGTGGAGATGGTTCTCCATCATTTCCCAGGATCAACCAGGGAGGTGGTGGAGATGGGAGATGGTGGAGATGGTTCTCCATCCCTTCTCCCAACCACCCATGGAGCTGGTGGAGTCACCATCCCTGGAAGTGTTGAGGAAACCTCTGGATGTTGTTCTGCAGGATGTGGTTGAGTGTTTAGAGCTTCCAGCAGCGACAGGTTCCCGGTTGGAGCTGATGATCCCTGAGGTCTCCTCCAGCCTTGGTGACTTTACATCCCTTTGGCTTTGCAGGTCAGAGTGAACAGCCACACTTGGCTTGGCTTGGCCAATCCTTGAAGCCACCATGGCCACCAAGGTGCCAATCTACCTGAAGAGAGGCAGCAGGAAAGGCAAGAAGGAGAAACTCCGGGACATCCTCTCTTCCGACATGATCAGCCCTCCCTTGGGAGACTTCCGCCACACCATCCACGTCGGCAGCGGCGGCGAGAGCGACACCTTCGGGGACATCTCCTTCCTCCAGGGCAAGTTCCCCCTCCTGCCCCGGACCGAGAGCGGCAGCTACGACTCGGACAAGGACAGCCCCGAGGCGTCTCCGTTCGAGTTCTCCCGGACGGCCACGCTGTCAGGGC